GCTGTGGACACCATTCAGGACTACCTTCTTGGCCTTTAACGCCTTCACTTTGGCTTCAGTTTTGGGAGGGGCAGGGGCTTCCTTCTTGGCTTTCGGCGCCATCTTCGTAGAAAGGCTACACCTACTTTTATGAACAATACTGTGCTAGATGGTTTAAAAATAACATCTTTAGTTCACAAAGTAATTCAGTAAGGATGTTAAAATTATTTTACAATTGGGAACATAGGCTCATAAAGATTAACTCACTTTCATGAGTACATAGCAAGTAAACAAAAATGGCATTTAAACCTCAGTCAGCTTGACCTGTACTTTCACTAATTCAATCACTTTCTATAAAACAATCTGTTGCTGAGAGATGTCTAGAACAATTTTCATGTCCACAGCACCCATGAGTTTATATTAGGATGTTAATTTCAAGAACAGAGGGATCATTAGGAAGAAATGGCTGGAATTTAGACTTTCATTGAGAAGAATCAAACAGTGAACCATCTACACATGAAAAACAGAGAGCTTGTGAGACCAGCTGCTTATAAACATACCCCATCTACATCACTCACCCACTCTCTTGAACCCACACCTTCATTCATGTCCTTTCTGTACTGTGTCTTCAGTTTCTCTTTCCTTGTGAATCTTTTCTCAGTTATTTCCTACCTCAAAGACCTCTCATCAACTCTCTCTTGTTAAGACACTCCTTTCCCAGTCACCTTTCCAGCTTCCTTATGTCCCTACTTCCAATCTCCCTAAATATGTTCTTACCAACGTCTCCTCTGACTGCTCAGTTTAGCAGACACTTTTAGTCTCATCTCCCTTGTGATGCAAATGTGCCCCCTGTCTTGTTGCTCTCAACTTCCCTAGCATTGTGCTTTCCCTCTTCTTGTACCCTTCTTTGTCTCTGTGTTTCTTTTCCTATGCCTGCACTGAAATTGTTGGTATTCTCAGGATTTTGTCATCTACTCCCCAGATATTATGCTACTCATTTTCCTGAGAGATTCCATCTGCTTGTAATTTCAATTCCTATATAGGCACAATTTACAGCTCTGGTTTCTGTCCATCAGACTCACAAACTCAGCCTCTGGACAACTGTATTGGAAAAACCCAAAAGCTTTCACACTCACATAAATCCAATGCTATTGGTACCAGAGTTCTGTAGTGCACAACTTTACCCCCTATATTCAATAGAACTTACACTCAACATATTCCAAAACACACTCATTTCCTTATCCCACTGCCAAGCTTACTGTGTTCTTCCTGATGACAACATTCATGTTGCTATGAGTCCAACCACTCAACTTGGAAGCCTGGAAATCATCGTTGATGTCTCCAAGTCTTTGGTATACTCTACCTAGAATTTCCTTCCAAATATCTTTGCCAGGCTAACCCCTACCAAATTTCAAGTAACAAGTTAATATCAAACCTTCTACACAAATCCTTCCTTCATCACAAATCATTTGTCCCAGGTTTAACTGTTGCACCATCTCTGTGCTCCCATAACATCCCAAGCGTGTATTGTGCTCTCTGTGACAGGGTACCCTGCTGAGTTTTACATACCCGAGTTCTGTGATGTGGCTTCAGTACTATGCACAACACTGGCACATAGTATTACTGTGAAACCGAATTCAAACCCACTGCCATTGAATTAATTCCAACTCATAACTGCCCGAGACTTCTCCCTCCTGAAAATATGCCCAAGGTATGTGTCATGAAATTACACCATCCTTGCTTCTAAGGATCATTCAGTTTGTGCTTCTTCCAAGATAGCTTTGGGGTTGTTTGGGGGGGGTTGGGGTTTGTTTTTTTTTTTAATTTCCATTCATTCACTGTTGTATACTTTCCTCCCTGCCCACCCCTTCCCCCCAGTTCACTTTTTTCCTTGAAAAGTTAAAAACAAAATTCATTCATTGTTATACAATCCCCCCCACCCCAGTCCACTCCACTGTGCAGCTTTCATTCTGGACTCTTGTCATGACAATAATATCTAATCATATATTCCTCCTGAACAGTTCTCTCCCTATCTGTTTCAATGCAGTATACATTATGTATCCACTGTTCGTTTCCTCCCAACTCTGATGTCAGTCCTGCTTTTATAGTAGTAGTATTATATAGTATTTGTCCTTTTGTGACTGAGATATTTCACTCAGCATAACATCCTCCAGGGTCACCCATTTTATATAGTAATTCACGAGCTCCTTGTTTTTCAATGCAGCATAGTGTTCCATTGTGTGAATATATGAGAGCTTCTCTATCCATTCCTTTGTCAGAGGGCACTTGGGCTGTTTCCAAGTCTTTGCTATTGTGAACAAAGCCACAATAAATATAGGTATGCATATATCTGCTTGGGTGGCAATTATGATTTCTTTAGAGTATATTACCAGTAGTGGAATTGCTGAGTCAAATGGTATTTCTATTTCCAACGTTTTGAGAAAGCATCATACCGCCTTCCACAGTGGTTGCACCATTTTGCACTCCCACCAACAGTGAATAAGGGTTCCAGTTTCTCTGCAACCTCACCAGCATTTGTCATTTGCTGTTCTATTAAATTTTGCTATTCTTACTGGGGTGAGATGATAGCTTTGGGGGATTGTGACAGTCCATGAGATTATTCAGCACTCTTCTCCAACAACATAACTCAAAGGCATCAATTCTTCTGTCATCCCTACTCAATGTTCAACTTTCAGGTGCACAGGAAGTAAGTGAAAATATCATGGCTTGGCTCAGACACATCTTAGTCTTTAAACTGACATCACTGCTCTTTAGCACTTTGGAGAGGTCCTTGATAGAAGATTTTCCCAATGGAACACATCTTTTGATTTCTTGACTAAAGCCACAATGGGAGTCAACTGTGGTTCTAAGTAAAAGGAAATAGTTGACAACTTCAGTGTTTTCTCCATCAACCTATGCTGCCCATTGGTCCAGTGAGAATTTTTGTTTTCTTGATTTCTAAATACAGCCCATTTTGAAGGCTGTAGCCTTTGAACTTCTGTGTAAATGCTTCACATTTTCTTAATTTCTGTAAGCAAAGTTTTGTCATCAGCACAACATAAGTTGTTGATGAGTCCCTCTTCAATCCTAATGCCACGTTTTTCTGCATATAGCACTGTTTCTTGAGCTATTATTATAATAGGATCTCAACTGTTTTAATGACTACCTACCACCAATGTCTGCAAGAGAAAATTTGCTGACAGGACAAATACCTTGTGTTACATTGAGTGACTCAACCTGAGCCTGTTTACTCACCCTAAGGACCTCTCCTGTGTCCCACGGAATTGAACTCCTGGGTCCCTTCTGGGGAATGAATGAAAGGTTAGGGTTTCCCTATTTGGCTGCCTGCACCAGGGTGAGCTATAGCCTCCTCATGACTTCCTGTCCACCCTACCCTTGGCCTTATCAGGAGCAACTTAGACCACTTTGCTTCTGCCCCCTCACTTCTCCCTCCCAGTGCAATGTCAGCAGAGGGCTCCAGAGGCCACAGTGAAATAGGGTAAAGAAACACTGCAACGATTGACTGACTGAGAAGCTACCACCATGGCCAAACTCTTCCTGGTTTTGTCCTCGGAGTCATCCCACCCTGGTCTGGACCTATCTATTGCCTCTTCTTCTACCCTCTCCATTCACAATCCCCAGTCTATGGGGACTCAGGGTCTGCTGTGGTTCTGGGCTTATCGGCACCATTCCATTGTCCCCACAGAGGAGACTAGGCCAAGGCTGCACACTGCCTGGGGATTCACTCGGTATATCCTCTGGGTCTCCTACCCTACTAACCAGGGCTGTAGTTTTAGGAACAGGAGTTCTGTGTGTGTGTGTTTTCATATGTGTGTCTGTGTGAATGTGTCTATCTGTGCATGTATGTGTAGATATGTAAATCTTTGTGTCTTTTATGATGTGTGTGTCTGCGCTTGTATGCATTTACCTACATGTGCCTTAGTAGGTAGTAGCCATGCGTGTGCGTGTGTGTGTGGGCGCACACACATGCGCGTGCATGCACAAACACTCTCATGCACTTTTGTCCCCTGGCAGAGTCAAGCTATGGGCAGATACCTTCGGTGAGGAATTGTATACCATTGTGACCAAATACTCGGGCTCCCTCTTGCTGCAGAAGGTCAGTAACCCCTACCCAAGCCAAGACATCCAACAAGGTGACCAGAGTGCAGTTGGCCAGGGTCAATTTCGGTACAGAGTTGCTGACAGGTGCCGTTGAGTCAAGAATGACCCATAGTGACCCTACAAACAGGAGTGAGTGGATGGATGTAAGCCTGGACCTTGTGCAAGAACATGGGAGTAAGGAGGGCTGGGCAAGAGGAGGTTCAGATGGCAGCTTGCAGGGCTTTAGGGAGCCGCTGGGGCAAGAAGTCTGGGGCTGATCATTGGCTCTCTGTGTAGGAGAGCTTCTCATCCCTCAGTTTCCCAGACCCCCAGGCATGCCTCATGCCCACAGGGTGCTTTGGCAGACACTAAAGCCCTTGGTGGGAATCCTGGGCCATGAGGAGCTCCTGAGGAAGACAAAATGCTCCAGCCCCCTCTCCTAACACTGTGTTTGTTCACTATTTCATGTGCAGTTATGGTCAACTTGTCTTCTTACCAGATTATAAACAACTTCCTCCTTCTCTATTACTTATAGCTCCCAACACAGTTTTAATAATAAACAACTTCATTTTTCTCTAATATTCATGACTCCCTTGCCATTCTCTTTTATTATTACCATTTGACTCAGAGCTTTATATTCAAAATTCTCCCCTCCACTCTGTGGGATGAGTATGATCATCTTCATCTTAGAAATGATTTCAAGAGTAAATCTCTTCAAGTAATGGCTTTTCTGCCTCCATGAGATTACCTTGCAATCCTACCTCCTCCTTTCCCCAACCCCCAGATCTTCAAGTGACAGGAAGCTGAAGGGGCCTAAGGTGGGCTCCCTGATTTGGACCCACATGGACTTGGCCCTTCCCCACCCAGGCTGTGGTACCACATTCCCATGCCTCAGGGCACCGTTTCGTTCACCCTTTTCTTTTAATACATCCAACTTGAGGTGATGAAGATGCAGCAGTAATTATGCAAGGTTTATTGAAGCTGAAAGCATCATCTAAAGTGCCACAGTCATACTAGGTGGCAGAGGTGGGACACTGGCCATTCATCATACTCACTGCCATAAGACTGTCTCTTGTGTGCCCACATAGGAAACTTGAATCCAGGTCTCCTGACCCTCCTGGGTTCACAGACAGGAAGCTGTTCCCTTTACTAGCTTTGTTGAGGGTGACAATGATGTACCCAGGGGCACAATGATATACAGATTTACCTTCTGGTGCATCAGGAGAAGATGGCCTGATCCTTAGTATGGTTTCATAATCAGTGTGCATACAGAGATACAAAAAATGTGGGTAAGGAAGTCTAGGAGACCTATCTGACTAGAAGCCTAGGTCAAGGCCACTTACCTATCTCAGCCTTGGTTTACATACATCTCTATCAGGGGGATTATGATGATATGTCCAGAATACCTGGAAAATGTGATAACTGTTATGGGGGGGAGATGATATCAAGAGACAGCCTGTCCTTAGTTGAGTAAACAGGACTTCATCTGCATGGCTCACCCAATACTAGAGCCCACATGTAACCAGGAGTCAGACAACACAGCACAAAACAACACTTGCCTATGTCTCCCATGTTCCCTGGAGCAGAAATACAAGGATGTGGAGTCCAGTCTGAAAATCAAGGAGGTGGATGGCTTGGAGCTGGTGAGGAAGTTCTCAGAAGACATGAAGAACATGCTTCGGAGCAAAGTGGAGGCTGTCAAGGTACTCGGGTCCTCAACCCAAGACGGAGCTTCTGCCAAACACCCATAATAAGACGACCCTCCCTGATAGTATGGTCCTCCACCCACCTTCTGTTAGCTAAAAGGATTCTTGCACCAGTTGTAATAGAGGAGTGATAGGAAGTAAGTGGGACGAGGGGAGCTGGGACTTGAGCTATGACTTAAGTGTAACAATTACAGTAGGATCACATGGCATCATTAAAAGGAACTCTGGCGTTTGTCAGTGTGGTACCCTGTAATCAACTCTGACAAACAGAGACTCTACAGGACAGTGCAGAATTATTCTGTAGAGTTTCCCGGGCTGTAATCTTTACAGGAGCAGATGGCCAGGTTTCTTCTGCCAAGGAGCTCTTTTGAGTAAATTCTTACTCACAAAGGCATATGGCCACATCACTCTTCTGCAGGGGAGATGGCAGATTTGAACCATGAACCTTTCAGTTAGCAGTTGAGTACTTAACCACTGTGCTATCAGGATTCCAATTACAAGTTAGTAGTTAGTGACCAGAGGTGGCCCTCTGTTGGGAAAACAGTAAAATAATTTAGCTACTGATTAAAAGGTTGCAGGTTTGAATACAGGCAGAGATGCCTTAGAAGAAAGGTCCTCTGTAGAGCAACTGGATTTATGGAAACCAGTCACCGACCACTCAGTGACTAGTCCAGAGTAATGTATGGAGTGAGGGCTTAGGGTTACTTATTAATGAATGAACAGAGAGATGGGTTATAGCTGGATTGAGAACAAATAATGTATAAAGCTGCCTCCCATCTCCCCTCTCCTTTTCTTTCTTCTCCCTTTCCCTTTCTACATTAAAGACCCTTCTTTGTGGCACTCAACAAGTTCTGGTGGCATAGCAGTTAAGCACTTGGCTCCTAACATAAAGGCTGATGGTTCAAACCTGTCACCTACCCTGCATAAGAAAGATGGGATCATTGGCTTCCTAAAGATCAGAGCTCTGCTATTATAGCCTATAGGGTCACTATGAATAAGAATTGACTCAATAGCAATGTTTTTTTAGAAGGAAGGTTAATTTCTATTCTTGGATCCAACACTCTGGGAGCCACTCAGGCATCAGAGGTATCCACATTGAGTGAGCAGCGGACCTGGGCCTAGGCTTGGCGTGTAGGTGATTCCATCACTGGACACCTGCCAGCCCTAGTCTGGGCTGTGATACTGAATGTATAACTTTGCTTCCTATGAAGTCCCTTCCCAGGATGCCTGTGGGGGCCTGGTTAATACAAACCAGTAGATAACATGGTTAAAGAGGCACAGTCTCCCACCCCATCAGCCAGGAACCTGACCACTCAAGACCAGGAATGTCTCTGAGAGAACTCAGATGATGGGGAAATTTCCTCCAAAGCACAACTAAAGTAATTAGTACTCTGTGGAATCTCATCACATCCTACAAATGGGGGTTTGGAGAAGGTATTCTACAGGCATACCTCACTTTATTATGCTTCAATTTATTGTACTTCACAGAAATTACATTTTTTTACACACTGAAAGTTTGTGGCAACCCTGCATGTTGGTCCCATTTTCTCATCAGCATGTATTTACTTTGTCTTTGGCATACATTTTGGTAAATTCTCAAAATATTTAAAAGTTATCCAGGGAACTCTGGTGGCCTAATGGCAAGAAGCTGCACTGCAATCCCATAGGTCCGTGGTTCGAATCCACCACATGCTCTGCTGGAGAAGGAGGGACAATCTCCTCCTGTCTCTGTCAGATCCAATTTGTTGGTACACACACATTAAAAAAAAGTTTTCCATAATGGCATAGCACACTTAATAGAGTAGAGTAATAGAGTCTTTTTATATGCAGTGTGGAAACAAAAATATTTCATAATTTTTT